ATCAATTAAAGATTTATCTGCTTTGGGAGAAATTTCTCTAGAACAGTTGAAAGTTCCTGCTTAAAAATTAAGAAGGAATTTTATTTATTTATTTTTCTTGCCCCCGCTGTCACCCATTTTATTGCTGCTCTTCCCTGCTTCCAGCCTCCCACTTGATGAATGGTGTCTTGTCTGAGGTCTTCTATTTGCACAGCTTCTGCAATCCCTTTTTAATTTCCAGCAGAAGTTATAACTTCGTTAACCATCTAAAAAGGGATATGGAGACGGCCGTACTAAGGAAGCAGTGAATGCCTTTGCTGTCCATCTTGATAAATGCTGGGAACATCAGTGCTCCCTGCCCTTCCTCATCTTTGCAAACTCCTTTGGAGACCTTCACACTTCATTTCAAAGCTGTTTGTACTGTCCAGGCCTATTGCTGGTGGAATTGGCTTAAAAAGAGCCACGTGTGCTCTGTAGTCCCTGGGAATCTCTCCTCTCTCTTTGTTAAGTACCACTGGAGACAGATTTTTGATCTGCCCCTCATCACCCTTAGGGATGAGTTTATTTTGGAACTTTTAACCTTCAGCCTTAACCAGCACCTGCTGCATGGATTTTAGAATCAATGTGAATTTTGGAGAGATAAGGAAAGCCTGCAGAAGGGTTTGATGTTGCTTCTTGGGCACCTCTTACTGTCCTTTTTTTTTTTTTTCCTTCAGCAGGGAAGAGCTCCTTTAGAATTACCCTGCCACAGTGATCCTGCTCTTCAGCACAGAGTGCCTACCACATGATTAGCTTGGTAGCCAGGACTGATAGGACTGAAAAGAAGAATTGGGGTTTTCACAGTAAGGTCTGCAAGATGTGGTTCTTAGAAATGCAGGCATTCAAAAGCCTCACTTGCTTAATGGATGCTTTTTAAAGCTATAAAAAAAAGTGGATTTTTTTATGAAAAGACAAACCAGACCAGAAGATGCTGCTGAATAAGTCTTTATTCTATAGAAGGTTATGGGCAAAGACCTGATACCAAAGAAATTGTTAAGCTTTTTATTTCTTGTCCAATTTTCTCTGTAAGAGGAGAAAGGTCTATAAAGGCGTTCATTTGTGTTCACTTTTTAAATGACTTAGTCCTGCCACTGAATTTGCCTCAGGGAAGAGAACTCATAAGTAGATAATACACCACAGAGTCAAAAAGCCTTTCGAAGTCATTTAGTTCACTCTCTTCATTTTGGGTGTTGGGAGGTGGGGATAAGAGGGGGAATTATTTGAAGATATTTCACAGAGACAGTTCCTATTTAGTCCATGTCTTCTCCCACCATCATGCTACCTCTCAGTGTTTCTTTTTTCTTTTTCAAATAGGCTCATGTGAAAGGGAGGCAGTGATTTATGTGGGAACTCCAAATTCCCAACAACTTGTATCTTTGGCTCTTTCAAGGCCCATTCTGACAACAGAGATGCCTATCATATTTAGATATGGTAACTTTTGGAGAGAAGGATATGCAAAACATGGGCATCAATCTTGCACATGAATTTCCAGATCTTCAGCCCCAATCTGAGTAGTTTTGAGCTATTTTTTACTCTTGTTAACCCAGATGCGTTCGATAGGATTGAACTAGATTCCTTGAACCGACATTTGAGTAATTACCGATGAATGTTGTATAATATATATGTCCAATATACAATTACAGATAAACAAGGTAGACCATGGGAGGATCTCTGTATGAGGCCTTGCGGGAGGATAGTGAGATAGATACCTGCAGCGTCACTGATGTGGTGGCCAGGGAAGCTCTCACGGATGAGTTGGTATCTGACATGGACATAGCCCGGAGTAGAGAAGTGGGACTGGCATGAACAAAGTTTTAGGTATTCTGAAAGCAAGCGTGTGACCTGTTTGATGAAGGGTAACTTGTTTGAAATGGCTCATATTACTCAGAATGATTGTCAGATTTTATTACTTTGGAAGTTTAACGTCATATTTTTTATTTATTTATTTATTTAATTTCAGCATATTATGGGGGTACAAATGTTTAGGTTCATTTATTGCTTTTGCCCCACCTGAGTCAGAGCTTCTAGCATGTCCATCTCCCAGAGGGTGCTCACCACACCCATTAGGTGTGAATATACCCATCCCCTCCTCGCTCCTCTATTTTTCTTGAATTATGACCTAGTTATGTGTGTTTCTTAAAAAAAATGAACTTAGAATCAATCATCTGGAATGATTTGAGGATAATACAGCTTAAATACACTACAATAGATATGGTAATCTCTGGGAATTCCTTCTACCTCTTAAGTTATAAAACTAAGAGAATGTAAGTGTCCAGCTAAGGATTTTGTGGAATCCATTGGGTCCTGGTTAACACAAACCTTGTTGTAGTATAGGGTCTTGGAATTGCTTAAAAAAATCTGTTGCTTTTCCTCCCTCCCCTTCCTCTCTCTCTCTCTCTCCTTCTCTTTCATGTAATCCATAAGCATATATTAACTACTCACTGTGGGCAGATACTGCTCTAGATCCTGGAAATAAATGATGAGCAACCCTCTGCCCTCAAGCTTCACTCAGAAAACATACTATTAAAATTCTGGGTGCTATGAGAGTACATAGGAGGAGCACCTAACCCAATTTTGCAGCTGTAAGGAGGTTTTTAGGGAAAGCTAGAGCTTGCAGGACCAGTAGTGGGAAGTAGCTAGACCACAAAGGAGGAAGGAGGGGGAAAAGAAATAGCATTATAACCAGAGGACATACTATGTTCAAAGGCCACAAGCCCAAGGAAAAGATGGCTCTTGCAGGAGCCACTGGTAGCTTAGTATGACTAGACTATGGAGTGAATGGGAAAGTGGCAGGAACTAGATTATAAAGAACCTTCTGTTCCAGCCTCAGGATATAGGGAGTTATCCTAAGGGCATTGTTGACTGAAGGGTTTTAAGCAGGGATGTGAAATGCACTTTAGGAAGACCACTGTGGCCTTTGAGAACAGATTCAGTAGACAAAGAGAGAACAGTTACTGTCCAGGAGAGACATTATGGAAGTCTGAATTGGAGTTAGAGCAAGCAATTACAGAGAAAACTAGAGAGATTCAAGAGATAATTAGAAGGTTAAATGAGCAGAATTGGCATGGGGTTTTTTTGTGGTTTTTTTTTGAGACAGAGTGTCACTTTGTTGCCTGGACTAGAGCGCTGTGGTATCAGCCTACCTCACAGCAACCTCAAACTCCTGGGCTCAAACAATCTCCTCAGCCTCCCGAGTAGCTGGGACTACAGGCTTGCGCCACCATGCCCAGCTAATTTTTTTTCTATATATTTTTAGTTGTCTGGCTAACTTCTTTGTATTTTTAGTAGAGACAGGGTCTCGCTCTTGCTCAGGCTGGTCTCTAACTTACAAGCTCAAACGATCTACCCGCCTCAGCCTCCCAGTGTACTTACTAGAATTCCAGGCATGAGCCTCTGTGCCCGGGCCAGAATTGGTGTTTTGATGTGGGTGGTAAAGGAGAAAGGCAGCAATAAATACAAGATGACAGATTTTTGTCTTGGCCACAAGAACGCATGGTGGAGCCATTCTCAGAAAAGGTGGAGAGAGAACAAAGGGGAGCAAGTGTCAAGATGAGGTAGAGAGTTTGGCGTTGGTCCTGCTGAGTTGGCAGTGCCTGGGAGAGCATGCAAGTAATGATGCCGACTTACTGACTTTCTACCTTTGTCATTGATGTCCTAACACTGGTGAGCATACAAATGTCAGAACTGTAGGCACTTGTGGTTTGGCAAGGAACCTTTAATTTTACACATGAGGAAAGTGGAGTCCAGAGAGGTGGGACACCTTGCTTAGGGCCACACAGCTATTACTGGTTGATCTGTGACTGGTACCTAAGTCTCCAACATCTGTCTAGGAGTCTTTCCATACCTGTTGTTAGTTTAGTGGTCTCTGAATTTAAATTGGGAATAAATCATGTGGCCATGTTTTCCCTAGCTTGGGAAGAACTGCTGTCAGTTAAAAATGAGAGCCATAAATCCACATGGGGACCATGCCCCATTTGCTTCTCATTTGATTCCGTCTTCCCTGTCTTAACACAATTATGGCAACTTTGTTAGGCAAGTGGTTGCTTAGCACAGTGGAAAGTCTTACTTACTCTTTAATAGCTATGTACAGAGGGAAAGTCGACTTTAATATTTAATCATCTGGTGTCTCTTGAAAAAATTATTTTAGCATTCCATTTGTATATCCATAAAATATATAAATGTGTATTTGCTATATTTTCATTTTCATTCTAGATTTCAGTGACACCAAAATTTTTTTAGAAGTATTATTGCTCTATAAACATAGCAAATTTAATGGAAAATTAAAATTTAAAAATCCACTCACAGTCTTTCCATAATAACAACAGCAACAAAAATTCAAGCTTTATGTTCTTTGAGTCCCTTTCTTTACACATCCATATGGTTGGTAATCCTAATTTACATTTTCTTTTCTAACTTTTTTATTTTATCAACTATTTTACCATATTCACTCATTCATCCAGCTGTCCATTCGTCTGTTCAGCAAATAGCTGGATGTCTTTCAAAGGTGGGGAACCTGCGGCCTCAAGGCCACATGTGGCCCTCCAGATCCCCAAGTGCATCCCCTCAACTGAATCCACACTTCACAGAACAAATCCCTTTATTAAAATTTGGATTCACAAGAATGGATTAATAAAATGTGGTATATGTATACCATGGAGTACTATTCAGCTCTAAGAAACAATGGTGATATAGCACATCTTATATTTTCCTGGTTAGAGCTGGAACCCATACTACTAAGTGAAGTATCCCAAGAATGGAAAAACAAGCACCAGATATATTCTCCAGCAAACTGGTATTAACTGAGTAGCACCTAAGTGGTCACATAGGTACTACAGTAATAGGGTATTGGGGAGGTGGGAGGGGGGAGGGGGGTGGGTATATACATACATAATGAGTGAGATGTGCACCGTCTGGGGGATGGTCATGATGGAGACTCAGACTTTTGAGCGGAGGGGGGAAATGGGCATTTATTGAAACTTTAAAATCTGTACCCCCATAATATACCGAAAAAAAAAAAAATTTGGATTCAGTCAAAAAGGCTGTTAGGTAGGAATGGAGGTATATAGGTGGCAGGGCAGTCAGCCAGACATGTGGGTGGCAGGGCCAGTGATAAGGGGATGTGGTCAAGGGTTAGGGTTGTGACCAATAGAGACAGAGAAAAAAAAAACTGTAACAGCAAGAACTTGAGGTTAGGGACTTTTCCAGACTGGGAGCATGTGCAGAAGCTAGGAGCTTATGACCAAAGGGTAAACTTTCCCTCATTAACATAGTAAAACTCACAACTCCTAGTGCTGGGACAGTTTCAGAGCCAGCCATATAAGGACAGAAAATGGGAGGGTATATGATTCCGGGAATCTCCACCCGATTCCCTGAAAAGACATGAGTATTCCACCCCCAGTTTAGCATATTATTGAGGATTAGCATAAAGCACAGACCCTAACCCTGCGATGAGGCTGTTCTTTATTGGAACAGTTTGCTCCCTCCTGACCTTGACAGTGTATGTACTTTCTACACTCTATCTTTAAACTCAGGGTCATCTTCATTCATGGGGACAGACCTATTCCTCTCTCTGGAAGTTACTTTCACTTTGCAATAAAACTTGTGTGGAAGTGCTTTGTGTCTGTCATCACTCCATGTCACCAGCCCTGCTTGCGATTCTTCCACGCAAGGAGCCAAAAAGCAGGACAACTCTCCCTAACCACACCTGACATTTTGGTGCTGAGACCTTTTCCTCTTTCTGCTTCCCCTGCTCCTCCTCCTCTTCCTTCTTGGTCTTGGCTACATTTCCCCAGGCCAGCCACACTCCCTCCCTGGCTGTCTGTCACTCCATCACACCAGCTCTGCTTGCGATTCTTCCGAATGAGGAACCAAAAACCAGTACAACTTTCCTTTAACCACACTCAAGGACTGTTAAACAGTCTTCATGGAGCTGACATTTGGAGAGTAGGGGACTAGCTGCATGGGTAACACATTCAACAAGTAATAAATACTGTCTTCAGAAAAAATTGCAATGGAGGTAATAAACATGGTACAGCATGTTCTTTTTATATTGTAGATGTAACATAACAGTTTTCTTGTTAAACATTGTATCAGTCAGGGTCTCAGTAAGGAACAAGTGGCACACCCAGATTAGGGTAAATGGAGGGGGGTTTTGTATAGGAACAATTGACAAAGATGTGGTCAGGGTGAAAGGAAACCACCACGATGATTCATCCCCAGTGCTGGTGACAGTAAAGCGTCCCTTGGCCTAATGGGGCCAGAGTAGAGAGAGGTTTCTGAAATTCTGAAGGAAATCATTTGGTATAGTTGGACACATTGAAAGGTTAGTTGAGGAAAATATCCGTACCATTTAACCTTGCAGAGGAGTTTGGTTAATAAATGCCTCAAGCTTATATTCCTCTCTTCTGATCTTTCTCTGATTTTCTCCCCACTGGCTGGGCCCGTCTGGAAGCCAGAAGGCGATAGAGTGTGTGGATGCAGTCCACAAAGGTCAGCTGTCCAGGGCGCGGAGTGGGGAGATAGGGAATGTAGAGGGTCAAGCAGAGGATAACCAGCACAGACAATAACCATATAGAGTTATTTTTAAGAGTGTTTTGACAGAGTGCAGTAGATAGGCAACTATGCCATATAGTATAATAGTGTAAGTGTTGAGGTTAGAGGACTGGAATTGGGAAACTAGGATTAGTGGGATAGTTGCTTGGGTAAATTTTGATGTTTGTGGATATATTTTTAAACATAAGCCAATGTGAGCTTTCATGAGTGTATCAGCTTAAGTTTTATAATGTGTCTCAGACACATTATGAAACTTAATGATAGGGCTTTAGGGAGTGGCCCTTGATTCTAGCTCTGGTTCCAGTTTGTTTATTCATTTGTTCAGCCATTCATTCATCAAATATTTTTTTCCTCTTTTTTTTTTTTTTTTTAAATTTAGGTTCACATTTGGCCTGGTAAAGGCCAAAACTTTTGTGTACAGCTTAATAAATTTTTACATAGTGTAATACTTGTGTAACTACCACCCAGGTCTACTTATAGAAATTTCTAGCACTCCAAGAGGCTTCTTTGTGTCCCTTCCTGTTCACTTCCTTTTGCCCCCACACTGTGGGGACTTTTGCTGGCATCAGCAAATTTTGTCTGTTCTGGATCTTCATATAAATGGAATCCTATAATATGTATTCTTTTGTGTCTGGCTCCTTTCAGTCGTCATTGTGTCTATAAGATTTAATGTTGTTTGCATATAGCATAGTTCATTCCTTTTCTTTGGTATTGTTTCCATGGGAGAATTCCTTCCTGGCGTTTCCCAGGAAATATGTTTTTCTGACTCCTGAGAAAAACCACTTAAGAAATTGGGAAAATATTATAATTTTCCTATGAGAATTAAAGCTTGACAATCAATGTGCAGACATTGTTGGTTGGGAATAATTCACTGACATTAAGTGTAGAGCTAGGGCGGGAGTTGTGGAGGGGAAGAAGATTAAGATCAAAGATTTTGGGAACTGTGACAGGAACACCTAGGAGAAATGTGGCCACAGTCTCACTGGTCACCTTGCTGTTGGCTCTTTCCTTGTCATAGATGTTTGCTCCAGGTCCTCTCTGATGCTAGTGGTAAGTCATTCTTGCAAATGAAATAACTTCAGCACAAATATCTTTATACACATAGTACATGTTATACAAATCCTGTGATTGCACAATAAATACCAAATTTTGGAAGTAAACTGAATTTTTTAATTGACAGTTTCTATATATGATTTTGTACAGTGCTATTTACCTTGCTAGATCTTCACATTAAATTATTTGACTACTACCTAGTGGTGTTCACTAGCATTTTCTGTGTTGAAATATTTAAGATACAGACTTTTGTAAATAATATAAAACTTTAATATTTCCTTTTTATTGAACATTTTTTTAGATGATAAAGAGTATGAAGAATGTTACTTTTTGTTTCCATTTTCTCACTTCTGAATCCCAAAGATTAATACCTGTGAGGAATTTGGAAACACTATTGCTGAGTAGTATTTCAGAGAATAAATGAATATACTGTGACATTTATTTATCCATTCCATTGTTATGGACCACTTGGGTTGCTTTAGTTTGGGACTATCACGAGTAATGCTGCTGTGAACGTTCTGTCTTTGGGTAGGTACCACCACTCATTTCTAGTGGGAATCAATAAACATTTTTAAAGTACCTTTAGTGTGTTAGGCAGGCATTGTGCCCAGTGAAGGGAAAGCAAGTCTTGTTCTAAGGAAGTCTTCTGCTTCCAGAGAGTGACTTGGACAGCAGGTCAGAGTGGCAGTAGAGGGACAACAGGGAAGGGGCACATGGGGCTGCTTGGTTTCTCCAGCTGTGAAATGGGTTAAATGGTGGGAGTGGGAAGAGAGGATAGGGGCAGAAGGCTGGGTTGGACTCAGCTGTTCCTCAGGCAGAGCTTTTCAGCTTTGGGCTGGGGCTGGGATATAGGCAGAGGGGGAATGGGCATGGGGACCTCCTGAGAAGCCTCTTCCTCATCACCCCAATATCACAGAAATATCATCTCTCTCTTTTGTGTGCTATATAACACGATGAATTTGGGAAATTTCTGGGTTTTTTTCCAGTTATCGAGTACTGTCATTGTAGAAATTCTTCCTGTGGTTTACGAAGCTTGGGTATTTCAACTCTAGCGTAGTCCCATCACAGTAGTTGTGTGTTCAGTGGCCTTTCTACTTCAGCCATTGTCAAGGTGGGGTAGGCAGATGGAGCCAGGGGTAAGAGTTTCATTTTGGAGAGAGTGGGGAGGGAAGCATGTAAGCACTCGCCACACTGGTGCACAGGACAGCATTGTGTAGGCAGCGGGTGCAGCTTTCTGGGTTGCTTACCTAGGGTGTGTGTCTTCTAAACTTGTGAATTTCATGTTTGGTGTTTTGCTGAGCGTTGCCAACTTTGGGACCTGTTGGGCTTAGATTACTGGGGCGCTAATGAGTCACTTATGCTGAGCCTCCTAAGGGAAAAGGGAACAGAGGTCAGAATCTAACAGCGTCACTAATGGCCGTGTGTGAGCTTGTGTGCGTGAATGAAACCTTGGCGGTGGCCTGTTTTTAAAGGCATAGGGTGGGCGCTTTATTGCTCTCAAGTTATTGATTTTTGTTGTTATTGTTCTGTTTTGCTCTCCTGGTGCGGAGAGGGGATTGTCCAGAGATGAGCCCTGAAAGAACATAGAATCTGATTCTGTTTCTTAATTTTAGTCTCCCCCTTAGGAGCTACTACCCTCTTTCATGATTCCTTTCTTGGTATTGAAATGTTCAGCCGTGAAGTCAGAGCTTTGCAACTTTCGATCCTTCAGCCCGAAGGGGGCAGTGCAGAAAGGCAAATAGTAAACTCCCCTTTACCTTGCGATACATTTGGTTTGTTTGTCTTTCTTTACCTTTTTTATTTTAAACTGCCTCAAATCCTTTTTGGAAACAGATGAGGGTTTGAGTAGTGAATGAATAAACTTTCCTTTATCCAGATTCAAACAGCCAGAAAACTAGGTAAGGATTGTTTCCCCAGCTTTGTTAATGAGAGAAAAACTCAGATCATGATTATAAAAAAATGAGTAGAATGTTTAGAGTATGTCCAAGATTAGTTCAGCTCTACCTCAATCTATCACTCCAATTGCTTTTCTTTCTGTTTCAGTACCATATGATGTCTTTATCTAGTACCCAAGGGTGTTCCTAGTTACCGAAGTGCCTTGGGAACCATCGGGAGCGCTTCAGTAATTGCTCCCCACACAAACAGTGTTGTCCCCTTCATGTCACTTCTCTGTTGAAAACCTTCCATGGCTCCCACAATCATTCACTTAAAAATCATCACCATCGACCTGGCGTTAGGGGCCACCAGGCTTCTGCCCACCTCCACAACCTATCTGTGGCCTCCACCCTCTTCGCTCTCTCTGCTTCAGGTCCTTTGGGGTCCTTTAGTCTGTTGATCTATTCCTGCAGGAGTAAGTGCTCTACTTGGATCATGCCCTATCTGCCCTCTCCCTCTCCTTATTCTTCCAATCTTCTTCCCTGACTCTATAGGTGAGGCTTGGTTTTTCTATTTTACTCTCCCACATCATCTGTACCTCTAATATTCACTTGTTATTATAAAATGTCAGTTCTTCTCCATACAAGATGATCCCCCATGAGGACAAACTCTGGGTTGTTTTTGCTTATTGCTATTTCCCTGGCACGCTGTTCAATGCCTGCTAAACTCTACATGCTCAGGAGAGATTTGTTGAAAAATTGAAATATGTACTTTACAGTTGTCAAGATTTTTGACAGTAGCAATCCACATTCAGTAGGTCCCATCAATTCCTGGATAGCCATCATTTTTAACAAGTTAGTATCATCTCTATTTTAATAAGCCTGCAAGTATTTGTAACTTTTCATGCTAGGTGATTGTCAGCAACGGTGGGATGGGTGGAAAGTGGATTGTTCGTACGTAGGCCGATGGACTCAGCCCCTGCCTTTGTGGATATGCATGCCACCTTCCGTGTGAGGTAAACCTTTACTATTAGAAACTTTCATTTTCATGATCTTCATTGATGGCCTCAATAATTGCTGAACTTGGCAGGACAAAGGTCTTCTTATCCCTATCTTACAACTAAGAGATGTTTTTGATGAAAATCAGGTAATGTCTGGTTGAGAAGTTGCATCAAACATTTGCTCTGAGGATGGTGATGACCAGTTAGGCCACACTGATTGGAAGGAGAGAGGTATAGGGTTACAGTAAACGCAGGAAACCATTCTCAGTTTGGAAGTCATATATTTTGACCTTAACAGGACATATGATGAGAAACTGTCTTTAGATCTGCCTGTTTCAATGTGGGCCTTGTGTTTTTAAGGACAAGGGTAAGCAAGACAGAAATGCACAGTAGGTCCTGTGCACTCACACTTTGTCCTCACTAGGCTTGGGGCTTTAAATGTTTCTAGTTTATTCCATCTTACAGATAGGAAGCTGAGAGTCAGAGGATGTCATTTACCAGGGAGACTCAGTTGGGGAACGGAATTGGGATTCGAATCTAGGTGTCCTGACTCATGTTAGGGACTTGTGTCAGGGAAGTCTCCTTTGTGGATTAAGAAAGAGAGAGGGGCAGTCACGATTGTGTGGTTTTGAGATTATTGTGTGTCTAAGCATTCCTGGGCCCAGAGCCTCAGTATTTGATTGTGTAATCTATTTCATGAAGATTATTAGCCTTTTCCTTTGCTAGTCTTTCTGATAAATCTTAGGACCTTGCTCTACTCTTAAACATCATCCATCCAAGTACTATTGATATACAATTTATTTTCCTCTTGTAATTGCTCTGGTGCCTCTAATATAATGTGAAGGCTGCAGCTGCCCTGTCTCCTGTTGTTTGAATCCCTTTCCTAGCTCAGTTCAGCAGGTTATAGACAGCATTGATGGCTGCCTGAAGAGTAGTGGTGTTTTCCATTATTGATAATGTCAGTGGCAGGTTTGTTGCTGTGGCCTGTGCAGGCTGGAGTAGGGTCGTGGATGACAGCTGATGCAGATATGCTTCCTTCCTACGGAACTGGACATAGCCTCAGGTGCAAGCTGAGGTCAGGTGGCTTTTGAGAGGGTGAGGTTTGCAAAGCAAAGAGGCCAGTTAGAGTCTGGGTAATTGACAGCCTGCATTTTGACACAGCCCAACTGTGACTAGAGCCTGGGTAGGGTCAGCCACATACTATGTGACTCTGGATAGTTGTGCTTGTGTTTTTTTCTGGTGATAGGGGAGACAGCGTGATTGAAACATCAAAACTCAGTTGGAGCCAGCTTTCCAGTTCTGGATTATTTTATTCACTGTTTCTGTCTCCTCCACCACCTATACAACATTATTCTCTTATTTCATTACTAAATATTCCACATTTATTTTAACAACTAGTTTGTGGCCTACTTAATCAGTTAGTGTTTTATTTTATGGACATAGTTTCAGTTAGCAGGCCAGTCCCCAAACTTACCATTTCATTGGCTATAGCATTTCCTACCCTGCTTTGTCTGGTAGTTTGATTAGCCAGCCACTAATGCCAGTCTGGCTTATGCCTGGTTTTTCATGATTATATGTGACAGTGAATACACGGAACAGTTGCACTTCCTTCCTTCCCTGGTCACAGTGCAAATAACCTTTTCATTCCATAGACCAGAAAATAGAACCCTGCTGTGTTAAAAAATTTTCCTGTATGTCTTAACCCTGGACTTATTTCTTTATCACCTATGACTGATTGTTTAGAAAGAGAAAAAGGTCAAGGACCAGTGATACCCACTTCCCACTCACTGGCAGTTAGGAGTTTCGTCAGCAACAAAGTTCCAGAAAACTCAACACAAACTTGCTTAAGCAAAATATGAATTTATTGATTGTGTCCCTGAAAAGTTCATGGGGAGAGCTGGTTTGATAAAAGGAGTCAAATGATGTCATTGGTCCTTGTTTATTTCCTTTCCTGGTCTGTCTCCCTTTGCATTGACTCAGCTTTCAAAGAGCATCACCCTTCTGGCTGCAGCTGCCTCTTCTCTGTTTCAAGTCCAGTGGGGAGATGGATTCTGAAGAGTCAGACCATGAGGGTCCCACGTAAGCATGCACCTTGCCCTTCTAACTTCTGGATTTGGCTGCCCTAGTGAGGATAGGGTAAGAGGTGGAGGATTACAGGCATGCATAAGATCACCTAGTCAGAGTTGTGAGGGCTAAGAAGGGCTTTTATAGGTCCCTGTATTATATATAATTACTGATTGCTGCATAAAACCACCCTAAAACCTAGTGGCTTAAAATGACACTTTATTATGTCTGATGATTCTGTGAGTAGGAATTCAGACAGGGCACAAAAGGACTGGTCTGTAATTGCTCTGTGATTTCTGGATCTCAGCTGGGAGCTGGCCAGATAGCTCTCACTTTCCCTTATTTCAATATTTCTCCCTTGCCCAGTGCCCTAGACCTTTTGATATGACCAGCTTGGCCACTCCCATAGCATGACAGCTTCAGTGTAAGTCAAACTCCTTACACTGATGATCAGGACTCCCAGAGAGGACATTCCAGGAGATAAGAAGTGAAAATTGCCAGTTTCTTAAGGCCTGACCCTGAAAACTAGCAAGCCTCACTTCTGTGTTATTTTGTTGGTCAAGCAATCACAGAGCCCTTTTAGATTAAACAGCATAGGACCTAGCCCCTACCTCCTCTTGATGGAAGCATGTCTAAGAATATGCATGCAAGCATCTTTAATCTGCCTCAGTCACCTAGTCCTCTAGTCTTCTGTTCACAGATGAAAAAACCTGAGGCCCCGAGAGAAGCACTAATTAGCCCAACTTCTCTAAGTCCTTTTTCAGAAATAAAAGAAAAACAAACATCAACCAGGACAAAAGCCCATACCTTATCCAGATAGAAGAGCTGCACTCACTGCCTGTTGCTACCTTCTCCTTTTGGTCCGTATCACATCACTGAGACAAGCGGGGCCAGCACAGGGTGAGCCCAGATATATTGTTTCTCCTTTGCAAATAAGATGCTGACAAAATCCTGCTTGTCAGTTTTGAGGGAGCTGCTTTGCATCTGCCTCAGGCTACTTAGCTCTGCTGGGACTCCTTTGTCAGCCAAGAGAAAGGGAGAACCTATTTTGATTGTGTCATAGAGGGTGTCTTTGCTTGTTGGGTTTTTTTTTTTTTTTTTTTTTTGCTCCCTGGAAGGGGCGTGGATGTGGATGTTGGGGGTGGAAGGGACTGAGGGTTCCAGCTGCTTCTTGGAGCTGCCTCTTCCTCCCTTCTTCCAGCACTCCTCCCAGTAATTAGTGAGCCACTGACACATTCCTATGTGAAAGTCAGTCATTTCATAACCTAATACTGCAATATTTTCTGGGTTTATTATCTCTCTCCAACCTGCGGCTCCACACCATCTGCTGTGCACACATACATGCAAGGGACAAAGCTGAGAGAGAAGGGAAACAGCTTTCTCCATTCCCTCTCCCTTCTGAGAGAAAGGAAAATTCAGTCTTTCCTCACACAGAACTTGATGTCTATTTCTAGGCGTGTGAGGCAGGAGGAGAGAGATGGTCAGAGAACATGGTAGTGCAGGGTATTTCAGCAGTTTGTCAGGAAATCACTTAAATCTCCTCTGTTAAAGATGAGAACTCATCTGTAAAAGATGAGTTATCTTTTACCTGGAGTGAGGACAGATTGTTTTGCATATCCTCATGTTCCATGGAGTCATGCCTCAAAAATAGGCACTGTTGTCATGGACAGGCAAGATGATTATGTTAATTTAGAACTCATTTATGACCTAGGGCACCTGGAAGAGAATAAATTACTCTACAATTCAGTATTAAGCGCACCTGTGTGTGTGTGTGTGTGTGTGTGTGTGTGTGTGTGTGTGTGCGTGCGCACGCATGCTTGCTGAAATGCACTGTTGTTAACATTATAGATCAGGCAAAAATAAATCTCTAAAACACTCATACTGGGCTGGGGAGTAAGTTTTGGTGAGGAGATTAATTAAATGTAACATTCTTTTATGTCTTTGCATCAATTCTCTTCTTAATCAGAGAAAGAGAGATCTTCCAACCAGAAGATGTGATCTCATTGATGTTGTTAGGTTTTTTAATCCTAGCAAATTAAAGAGACTTTAGCAGTGATGTTTTCAGTTCTTTCGGGAAGAATGCGATTTCAGCTGACACTCATGCATTGTAATTTTAATATATATTTAAAGTTTGCGGTTGTTTTCTTAACCTGAGAATTTGGGAGAAATTCTGAACCTTGGAGATGAACAACTAGCTTAAATAATGATATTTAAGGAAAAGTCCATGGATGTACAAAGGCAAATGGCTGTATTCTCAGTTTCTAATGAGTTGATTTCATCATTTCCCTTGGTATCAGCAACTTCTTAAAGGTGACTGACGTACGTAGACAGTCATATACTGAATACAGAAGCATGGTGGGGATGGGCGTCAGGCAGGCATTAGAAGGGGCCTGATAGAGCAGATTTGCTCCCTGAGCTTCATTGCAGTCACAAACATCTCACAACCTCAGTTCTTACTTCATCCTCCACTCTTTCCATAAGACTTCCAGATTTAGAGTGCAGAGGTGTGTTTATTTTGATCATGTGCACGAAATGTCTTTTACTCCTACGATGACACAAAGCAGGGCTTGCTCTTTTTGTCCTTCCAGTGGAATGTTCATCCATGTAATCTGAATACTTTTTATTTACTCTTGATGAACCATTTTCCCAATATATGATCCTAGAAGTTCTTTTACATGCTTTAAAAGTTAATCAAACACAACCAAGAAGGACAGTAGCATCCTGGGGTCAGGAGACCGAGGTCTAATCTTACGTCAGCCTCTAACTTGGAGTTTACCTAACCCTGAGCCTCCTTCCGGCCTCACTGACACTGCTCGGCTCCCTCAGTTGCTGTAAAAATAAAACCCAGGGAGAAATGAGAGTGCTCTGGAAGGGTAGAAAGCTCCACATGCAAGAGGTTATATAATTATGTCCTATGATTGCTCACAGCTGTCAAGTGTGGCACACTGACATCCTCATGCTCCTCCACTGGTGGGGAGCAGCTGTTAGTTTCATTTCTGCCTCTCCCTTCTCCATATGCCAGGAGTAATGAATGGATTAAAAATCTGCTGGGGATGAGGGAAAGCCATCAGAGGTGTCTTCTGTCTAGTTTTTCATCAGTAAGTATTTTAGTTTTAATATGCCCGTTGAAACTGCAAGGTAGGTGTGTAATCAGTGTAGGAAGAGGAATGGCACTCAAGTTACTCTAAATGAAACAGTGGAAATAGCCTAGGGTTCTGGGTGTGAGTCGTTGAATAAGACTATTATAGTTGGAGTTGGAGTTGTCTGAGCACCTGGTGGGTTTCTTGGACTGGTTTGTAAGCAAGTTAAGGTGCTTCTCTACATGGCTCTTGTGTTTTATTTCTCATCCCTCCCTCCTTAACACTCTGTATCTACCCATATCTGGAGGAGTTGGGCCAAGGCCTTTGCATGTGGTTTGACATGCCTAAAAGGCTCTTCCCATACCTTTTTCACAGGGACGCCTACTTTTTAAAGATCTAGCATAGATGTAATCTTTGTAAAAGTCTTCCCCAATACCCACCGTCCCAGATGATCATCCTTCCCTTTCTCTTCCCTCTGTGTACAAATGCTGCCATTACATTATCCACTACTGATGCAAAGACATCTGTCAGCTTATGTCTTTACACTCTTGGCGGACATTGTCTTAGTCCATGCAGGCTGCTATAACAAAATGTCATAGACTGAGTAGCTAATAAACTACAAAACTTTATCTCTCATGGTTCTAGAGGCTGAGAAAGTTAAGATCAAGGTGCTGACAGATTCAGTGTCCGGTAAGGGCCCACTTGCAGATTCATAGAGGGCCTTCTTGTCGCTGTATCCTCACATGGTGGAACAGGCAGGGAGCTCTTAAAATCTTGTAAGTCTCATTCATGTGGACTCCTTACCTCTTAAAGGCTCTTTCTTCTAATACTGTCACTGTAGGGATTAGGTTAGGATTTCAACATAATGAATTTGGGGGAGACACAAACATTCAGACCTTAGCAGACGGTGAACTCTTAGGACAGGAATCATTTCTTCACCTTTGTCTTTTCAGGGCCTAGCAGAATTTTTGTCACATATTAACCACTTAGTAAATGTGCACTAAGTGTATGCATGAGTTAAAAAGAAAAAACCATAAACGTAGACCATGCTCTGATACTCCTTCTGATTCAAGAATTAATATTAGTGCCCCGTGACAATTTCCAGTTGGAAAACAACTGTCAGTTCCCAAGATTTGGACAGAATATCACCAAGTCAGGGCATTAGCATGTGCTTTAGTTTACTAGGGCTGCTGTAACAAATTTCCACAAATTGGGTGGCCTAAAACAAATGTGTTCGCTTATAGTTTTGGGGTTTAGATGTCTGAAATCAAAGATCAGACAGAACCCAGATATAATTTGGGGATAGCTGTGAAAAAGGCTTTAGGATATTCTACTGTTACTGTAGGCTACTGAAGTGGAGACAGCTCCAGTGGACCATTTAGTGGTGTCTCCTCTGACACTTGGTTACTAGTTAAATGCACGTAGACTCCGGTGGTCTCAATCCTTTCTGTTTGAATGATGGCGGAGTGGGTCAGGACCAGAAGCAGAGGGGACGTAGAGATGATAACCTGAAGGATTGAGAACATGAGCTCCAGAAATCAGGCAGATTTGCATTCCAGGCTCCATGTCTTGTTTGTAACTTTGAGAAATTACTTTGTAAAAGAGGATTAATAATAATATCCACCCACAACTGAAAGAATATCCATTTAATTTTAGCTAAGATGCAGCCAGGAAGGGAGGCTGAAGCCCAAGGAAGTCAAATGATTTGCCAAGGTCACTTGTGTGTCCACCCAGACCAAGAACAATGTCCAGCCTTTTAGTTTCTAGTTTAATGCTCTTTCTTCTAAACCACTCTCACACTTTAGAAATCATCAGCTTATGTTATTTATTTACCAGTCTGCTTTTGTTTACTGAATAAAGCAAGGAAAATAAATAGAGTTGGTAAACCTTTCTCACCAGAATATTGATTGAGTTCCTCTGAGGTGTCTATGGATT